GGTCCAGATCAATAATGGAATCTGGTTGACGCGTGTCCGGCACAAAGACAAATCGCGTGGGCATGTCTTATTATTTTGGAATCTGGTTGACACATGTCCGCCGCTTCAGTTGCAATTTGATGGTGAAGCTCTTAGCTAAATAAAGCTTTTCCAGCTTTTCTCATTACTCCGACGTGGAATCCATATCCATCAGATTATGTTATCAGTAATAAAGAGTCGAATTGTGATTGCAATCATTCCCAATCATCATTCTTCATACTATGCCAAATACAAGCATTATTTGCTAATTAATTAATCGCCATTTTGCAAGCATGCATGCAAGATTGTCGAATCACCTTCAAAATGGCTTCCTATTTCCTGCAAATTTGATTTCATTCCAATTTTAACATCATAACAGTTTAATTTTCAAAAAATGAAAAAATATCCTCTGAAGCCACTAACAAAAGTAACATATTAATAATGTTAAATATCACCATACTACTAGGTCTGCCTTTACTATTAAAATTTTCTAAATCAACGACCACTTCATTATTCTCAAGCACGATAATGAACTGCGATGATTGTTCTTTCATGATTTCAAACAAGCCTTATGCAATGGTCATCAATTGCAATTGGCTACATTTATCCTATGACTTTTCAGGCCAAGCAATTAATTGAAACATTATTTTGAAACTAACAACGAACAATACTTATCGTAAGCCATATTATACCAAAATCAAATCTTTGATCTGCAAACTCACAAAAGGGTGTTGAATGTCATAATCTATGGTTTTGTATGGTTCAAATATTTTGTAAAATTCAACATTTTGAATGATGTCGAAAATATTAAATTCATCATTAATGAATTGTTCATCATTTGTAGCCATTGTTGGCTTTAAATTACACTTTATAACCACATTATTTGCATCACTCTCTAGACTAAGAGTTGCAACAAATGGTTGATTTTTTTCGTTCACACATCAATGGATTAGAAACATATCTTTTGAACATCCAAAAAACATTAGTTGATTTTTTCTTTTAGACAATAATGGGTAGGAAGCATTTTTTGAAAATCCGGATTGCATTTCCTCTTTGTGAAATTGCCCCCTACCACAAGATTTATATTCTCATGGCCTTTTATTTTTTTAAACCATAACAATCGATGGAATAACTTTTTCATAATGCACAACCTTTAATGGCGTGAGAAGAAGAACCAAAAATTTGGGAAATGTAGGACATAACCACCACTAATCACCTATAACTTCCAAAACAATAATATTACGAACTCATAATTAATTGCTTAGAAATTATACAGAATTATTATCTTATGATTTATTCTATATATGAATATTACACTACACAAATTTAATCTCACCACATAATCACCCACCTAAAAATTTGGGTGGATAAGTCTGGATTCCCATACTTATTTGCTTCCAAAAACTTTTTGCATTGCCATTTATCATCCTTTGAACTCGTTTGGGATGCCTCATTGGGGCTAAAATAGCTATATAAGACAAAATAGGCTATTTTAGTTATATAGGATAAATTGTCACGTCCAATCCATAATCATTTCATTTTTTCTCCAATAAAAGTCAAAAAAGACAAAAAGCTTATCCCAAATGAGACTTTTTAGCCTCAAGCTAAAATAGTTAAAAAGCCAACCCACTTCCCAAATGAGCTCTTTGCAACTTCTAACCTCTCGATTGAGTGAACAATTAAACTAACAATTAATTTACCTCTATTTCTATGCTTCGAAAAGAAAATACATAAATTAAAGTGCAGAAAATTTACCTTTATTCCTATGCTTTGAAAATGAAGTGCATAAAATAAAGTATAAAAAATTAAGTGTAAGAAATATAAATGACAAGAAAAATAAAAATTAATTGTCTTTGATTTGAGTTCTTAGTCTTCTACAATGTAGTTATGACTGGCTATTTATAGGCAAACATTTGTAAGAAAAAATTACTTAATAACTACCACATTCTTTCATTTCCTACTCCATAATCTTCCATTTCATTTTTATGTTTTCATAACTTTTTTTAACCTCTAATTCATGCTTCATGATCCTCCACATTCTTCATCATCTTTTCACATATATTTAATGATTCATAATTTCTTATAACCTCCAAATGAGTAGGAGAGCACCACATATTCTGTAATTTATCAATAATAATAACAATAATAATAAATTATTTGTTTATGGTGCCAATAGAAGTGCATAATGTAAAAGGATAAATTTTTTTCTCCATTCTTAGTTATAGATTGGACTACATTTATATTATTATGAGAGTTGGAAGACTTAAATAAATAACAATTAAGAGTTTAAGATTTACACTTAAAGTTCAAATGCCGCATTAAAAACTAAAATAGAGTTGGACGGCTTAAATTAAAGAATTAAATATACTAATTTACTTTTTATGAAAGTTGGAAGACTTAAATAAAAAAAATTAAAAATTTAAGATTTACGCTAACGTCGTGATTGATTGAGAGATTTGAGAAAAAATTTTAAAATAAAAAGGAAAAAAATATGTGAAATTAAGTGAAATATACATATATTTTATTCACATTTTATTTATCTTTTCTATTTTTTTTTCTTCTAAATCTCTTCTCAAATTTCCTAACCAAATACAATGTAAAAATCCAAATGTCACATTAAAAACTAAAATGGAGTTGGACGGCTTAAATTAAAAATTTAATAATCACATTGTAAACATGAGAAGTTGAATGCACCAATTGATAGTTTACCTGCAAAGCACAAAGAGAAAACTAATACATATAAATTATTTCAGTAACTAATATCATCAATTTGAGATGACTTAGTTGGTTTGATTGCATCTAATGCCTACGTATAGGAACAAGTCTCTTTTGTTTCTCTTATTTTTTAACTTCACCGATCCGTCCCAAAACTGACTAGGAACAATTGGGCTATTAACCAACACCACTTTTGACCTATGAGGGAAAAACTGCTCGGGTCCGCATCAAGTATGATATGGGGGAAAAAATCAATGATGCTGGAGATCTTTAATTTAGAGACTCTAAATATATTTCTAATGAGGTAAAAAAAAAAAAAAATAGACACAATACTGACAGTGGCAGTGGGTGCCACATCACTAGTGACACCTCTAATTAGAGGTCCCAAGCATTTTTGGGGAAAAAATTGCCCAGGCAGGTCCCATCAGGTGGGAGATAAATTGTCCTTCCTAATTATGTTGATTCATTGTGTTTCATGTGGTGTCAACACTAGGGGTGGTAGTTATGCGGATCCATTAACCTTTAATTTGTATTTGGTTGAGGAATTTGAAAGGAAAAATAAAAAATATAAGTGAAATATGAAAAAAAATATATCTATTGTGGGGACATGTTTTCTGAGTACTAACACGTGCCCAATGTGACGCCGACGTGTCAGTCGAGGAGCCACGTGTCCCGATCGTAACGCCGAGGTAAGTTCGGCTAGGCCGAGGTTATTTCCGAAGATATCAGAATTCGGGATAAGCGAATAAGGGAGGGATAAGCGGATAAGGGATAAGAGCCCTAGAATGAGGAAGGACTTCAGCCTGGATAAAGATAAAGCTCTTAGGGAGTTTATCTTTATCTATTGGAGAGTCCGAGATAAGCACTGAGCAGAAGTCCATTGAAACTAGGCTTTTATTGGGACTAGGATTGAGTTGGCTATAAAAGAGAGGCACCCCATGGGTCTAAGGTATGCAATTTATATTCAGAACAGTGAGTTAAGCACTATTGATTATCTTTGAGAGATATTTGATTATTGACTTAATTATCGGAGTGCCCCCGGGTGGACGAACCACCACCAAAATCTCTTCTTTCTGTTGCAGGTCGTTCGGGCTTATCCTATTCTGTCAGTGTTTTCCAGCTGAATACTTGAGTTGGCAGTGTGGTCGGAAATTAGCTTATCCTATTCTGTTAGTGTTCTCCAGCTGAATACTAAGTTGGCAGTGTGGTCGGAAATTCACTCACACACCTATATTTCATTTATATTGTATTTAGTTAGGGGGTTTGAACAGGAAAAGAGAAAATGTGTGTCAAACTGAATGAAATATAAGTATATTTTATTTTCATTTCACGTACCTTTTTGAACTCTTGGGAAAGAACTAATTTCCCTTCTCCATTATCAACCTTGAGAGTGAAAGTGGGAGATCCCTGGGAGAGCCTTGCCATTATTCTCTCTCTAGCCATTTTGCCTTCTTCTTCACCCAATCTCTTATCTCCATCATCTCCTTTGTTGTTGTGTTCCTAAGTTGAGGTTATTGAAGAATCTAAGCCTCTCATCATATTCTAGAGAATTCGAAGTTGTTCTTCAAGGATCTTCGAAGATCTTCGAATTTTCCAACTCCTTTCTTGAACCCTCTCCTACACGGGCTTATCCTATTCTGTCAGTGTTTTCCAGCTGAATACTTGAGTTGGCAGTGTGGTCGGAAATTAGCTTATCCTATTCTGCTAGTGTTCTCCAGCTGAATACTAAGTTGGCAGTGTGGTCGGAAATTCACTCACACACCTATATTTCATTTATATTGTATTTAGTTAGGGGGTTTGAACAGGAAAAGAGAAAATGTGTGTCAAACTGAATGAAATATAAGTATATTTTATTTTCATTTCACGTACCTTTTTCATTTCTTTTTCTAAATTCTTCTTCAAATTTCTAACCAAGCACAACCTTAGTTTTACACACATTTTCTTTTTTCCTTTTCAAATCCTTTCTCAAATCTTCTAACCAAACACAATCATCGTAAAAATTATAAATTTTTTTAATTAATTTTTTTTAATAATATCATATTATTGCTGTCATTCTCACCTCTATCATTATTACTACTGCCAACTCCGTCTCACAAGCGTCCACCATTAAATATAAAAAAAAAAAATTTAATGTAAAATCAACACATAAAATGTGTGTAAAGAAAGAATGAGAAAAATAAAAAATCACAGCGTGACAACAAGGATAAACGATGTTTAATATATTTAATTCTTATATGATAAAATAAAAAAATGTTATTGATTTGGTCTATTTATGCATTTGTTATTATTCTTCTTCCTTGCTCCATCAACAAAAAGCCTCATTTTTTTTTGTTCTGTTTCTCCAATCATCTTCAAATTCTCTCTCAGACAAACCCTAACATACAATTCACTCAGATTTACATACGCATATACATACATATACATCATATTTGAGAGAGAGACAGAGAGAGAGAGAGAGAGAGTGTGTGTGTTTGGAATGTGCTAAATGGGTGCTGCGGGCTCGAAACTTGAGAAAGCTCTGGGTGACCAGTTCCCTGAAGGCGAGCGATACTTCGGACTCGAGAATTTCGGCAACACATGCTACTGCAACAGCGTTTTGCAGGTTTCCCGCACTACATTTTCCTCTTTCATTTGCATTCAAATTTTTTTTTTTCAAAATAAAAAAAAAAAAATTTGCTGATTTTGATGGCCGATTCGTGCTAATTGTGCTCTCTCATTGTTTTAATGCTGTTGGGGTTGTTCTTCTTCTTGTTTGATTGATTCAAATTTCAATTTGACGCGGTGTGTTCGGTTGTAGTTTTGTCTTGGAGAGGCATTTTCTTATTAGTTTGTGCTTGAGGTCTGCATGCATCCGTAGGAAATGACATGGTTTCTATTATCTTTTCTCTCCCTGTTATTTGAGGTGTAAATCTGATATTGGGAGTTGCACCATAAATAGAATTTGAAGCCGATGCTGTATGTATCATCATCTTTTTCACATTTATTGAATGATAATCCCGAATGCTAACTGTCATTGATGGTGATATGGATGTCATATTCTGATATAGTCCCATTCATAGTGATGGATTTTTTCTCAAAATTATTTATTTAAGTAAAGAAAAATCGGAAAATTCAATTTTGATGGAATCTCCAAATGCACCGTATTAAATTTTGTCTGCATCCATCACCCTTTGACCATTGCTTGTAGGTCCCACTGGAACTCATGGATGGTGATTTGATTACTCTAGGATTCGGAATCAGAGAGAACCAGGCATTCTGCCAAATAAACTTCTAGGGTCATTGAAACATAATGGTTTATACGTATTTTAACAAGACTTTAGAAACATGAACAAAATGTCCGACTTATAATTTTCAGACGTTAAGGATCTACTTTCGGTGAATTCCTGACCTTGGGGTTAGGTGAATCAAGTGGAAAACATTGGTGTAGGAACTTTGAGTTTAAAACTTACTATAGGATGTTGATTGGTTCATATTAAGTAGTTCCTTCCTTGGAGAGGTGTTTTAGACCATGGTTACCTTTTCGTAAGTTTGGTTGCCTATCATAAGACACTTATGGTGAATAACTTGAGAAGGAAAGATCCTTCCCAACTGGTGTTTCATCTCCGAGAAGGTGGGAAAGATTTGGTCTTTATAGTTATTATAGCTTGGGTTATGCCTTGAATTCTAGTTGTATTTCTTGACTTTTAGAAAAGTGGCAGAGATAAGAGAAAGAAGACGACTTAGGATTTGGCTGCTCTTTGCTTGATGTGGATAATTTAGGAGAAAGGAACCTATGTTTTATGGAGTGGAGGAGTTAGTCCATGGATTAAAAAATATATTTTTCGTAAGTTTTACTTAGGGGACAGTGAGTGTGAACCCACCTCTTGAAACCTTTTTGTATTTTTAATAGAACTGGGATTCATTTCAATTAACAATTATATAGGAGATACACTGCTAGATCATATACTTTGTGTATGCATTGGGCATGTGTACATTGATTGCGCACCCTTCGGAAGAACCTTGTTTTTTATTACTCTAATTTTGAGGTGTATCTATAAATATGTTGGAACAAAAAAGGCCCGGCTAGGGAGTTGTTTGGAAAGTGCTAGATTAGTATACTTTTTGACTTTTTACGAAAAAATGTGAAATATGGGTTGAGTTTGAAGTGATGTGATAGAGAGATGATATGACCCAAATAAGATGATTGTGACCCAAATAGGATAATGTGCTAAAATAGCTTGTGCTATTTTAGCACATGCCAAACAAGCGCTAGATCTTCGAGACATAGAGCGTGCAGGCCTTTGAACCCAAATATATTGCCTATGATGGAAGTAAACACGTTAATATCAAAACCTTCTTCAAAAAGGTTCAAAGGATACGCTACATAAGCAATTTATTGATTTTCTTTTCCAGCAACGGGGCTTGACGTGGTAGCATCGCCCTTTCGTTATTCCCATTTGTTTCATCTATTGGTGGGGAGGTTCTCAGCTTCCCTTAACCATCATTCAACAAATTATACTTTTTTGTCAGAATTTAATGATGGCTAGCAGGAAATCATTTTGTTTATTAACTCTACCAGTTGCTACAAAATGTAGGAAAAAGAAATAAATTGATATCTTACTGAAAGGAAGTATATCAACAATTAATTTCTTGAAATTTCCACCTAACCTATTATATCTATCTGGTTATTTGAATTTACTTTTTATATTCTGGGAACAATTTTTTTTTCCCCCTTTTTTTGCAACCGAATCTAGGTTGGGGAAATAGCAGCCAATGTCCTTTTGAAGCCTATATCCACTGTGTATGTAGTAATTTAGAAGAGGCTCCAGGCATCACAAATAATGTTATAAAGACTACTTCAATGATAATCTGCTTTTTATTTTTTTTCATTCCATATTAGAAGTTTAAGAAATTGTTTGTTTTGATATACATCTGACTCTGATATGTATTCCTTTCTAATATCCCTGTCTTATGCAGGCTCTCTATTTTTGTGTTCCATTTCGTGAGCAGCTATTAGAATATTATGCGAATAGCAAAAATCTTGCAGATACAGAAGAAAATCTCCTGACGTGTCTGGCAGACTTATTTACACAGGTTTAAGTATAATTCTATCCATTGCTTTACTATGTGGAGTATAGTCTTACTTCCTTGACCTTTGGTGTAGTTTGGTTTTGCTTTCGAATTCACCTTGGTGATTCTTTTCTCAGACTACAAGATTTGATCACTTAATTGTAGCATGGTTATGTGAACAAGACTATTTTTGCTCAACTATATTCTGCTAATGCTGTCTTATATTCAATGAAGGGGTTGGGTATACAGTTTTCCAAATAGATATGTGATATTTAGAATACTAATGCTTCAAAAATAAAAATTCTGAGGTTCTTTTGATTTTACTTGGGCAATTTGGTTTTTATCTTGGCTTCTGCAGTGTAATAGCCCCCAGTCTAGACATCTAATTAAACTTAAGAAATCAGGAGATCATCTTTCTTTTGGATCTTAGTTATTAGAATTATGTTCAATAAAACAGCAGCCAAAATTGTGTATAAACTCAGGATGTTGACCAATGCTATCTTGTTTTTGTTTCCTTATACATTACTTGTAGATGGGCATGTGCCCCTTTGTCTCTTCCAAATATTTATTTATTTGTTCAAAGGGAGACCCACATTTGTCAGCGAAAAAAAAAAAGAAAAAAGGGGAAGACACTTACACATACACCCAAAAAACAAAATAATAATGAAAAAAGAGGATGTTAACTGTTGTAACTTGTAAGCAAAACTTTTTCCGCTGAGATTTAGATAAAATATCCCTAATTATTTTTAAAGTCTCCCATATCCTATTGCGTGCATGTGTTTGTGCATGTGTGTGTGTGTGAGAGAGAGAGAGAGAGAGAGAGAGAGAGAGAGATACCTAATTTGTCATATTTGGGTGGTGATTGGGTCAGATTTGTGAATTGGGTTGATGAAGCCTGAATTGCAAATTGGGATTTTTTGAGAGAGCAGATTTGAAACTTTGGCGGAAGTCTAGTAAAGTTTCCTTTTTAAATGCCAAGGTACAAAGCAATGAGGTGACATGACTCTGACTTCCTGATCATGGAAGCACTATCATTTATATCACTTATCATTTATATTGGGTTGGCATTTAACCCATATCATTTTCTTCCTATAATTTACATGAAGGCTTATTATATTAAGACACTATTGTTCTTGTATGTGCAATACAATTATATAATATTTTCATGCTGGGTACCCTCACACTCTCATGCTGTTTTAACCACTTACACCAGCTCACTCCCCATGAATATTGGTATGGGACTTTGGTAGCTGTTAAAATTATGCATCTACTAGAAGAAGATGCAGAATAGGAGTCTGTTTTTCCTTTAGTTAGCTGTTGTCGTTTCTCTCTGATCATGAGGTCTATAGTTAACTATCTTGGGATGCACTACTTCATATCCCTATCATTTGTTTCATTTTCAATTAAATAATGCAGTTAAAGAAAAACATAATTCTACCTATGTCTTGGTTTGAAGTTTCATTTTATCCTTTTTTGTGATATTTGGATTTTCGAAGCCTTCTATGGTTTTTTGCTTATGTTTTGGTTTGCAGTTTAATTCTGCCCTTTTTGTGGTATTTGGATTTCCAAAAGCCTTCTCATTTCTTATGTTTTGGTTACTTAGTGGATTTTGTTGTTAATGATAGAGTATTTCCTATTTGATTTCAGGGAACTTGGATTTTTTAGCGTTTGGCCTTTTTATGAGGTGAAAAAAGTTAATACATTTGGAATGGTTTTTTTAGTTGAATAGAAAGTTGTGAGGGAAAAAGTTTTGATTGATGTATGATGTGATATTTTAACTTATTGTGGCTTTTTGACTTTTTGTGGCTTTTTGTCTTTTTTAGCCAAAAATATATATGCCAAACAAGCTCTCAGTTTCTTTTGGCATATACACAAGCAAGATGAACCACAACTGATTTGAAGTTTAATAATTTTTTGTATAGCTTTAGGCAAGTTTGATCTGTTACATGTACTGTCTTGTAGTATATACCTCTTATCCAAGTCAGATGGTAAAATTATGATAGCTTGTTGCTTATAAAGTAGATTCCAAAGTTTAACCTGGTGGTATGGTTTGAAGGAAGGAGCTAGTTGTAATTCTAATGGGTGATGGGTTTAATTTTGCATTAGGTTGCACATGAGCACCACTGATGTTTTATGCATTGAGCTTCCAATATTGTGAATGGTAAGGGAATCTGAAAGATATTGGAGCTTCCCTCATCAGGGTGCCTTGCTCAAATAACAGTTTCACAAAGATGGAGACGAACTGGATTAATCTGTTACCTTGCTTTTGTATTTAGTGAAAAGGGATATATGAAGTTTGTTCTTTCCCTCTCTGCATCACTGTGATGGGTAAATCCCATGAAAAGTGGCAATTTTCATTTGTGAAAGTACTACAAGAATTATTTTGATCATCCGTGGGTCATTTACTACGGTAGTGGTGGTAATTGTTCTTTAGATGATTTTCTGTGGTCTTCTATTCCAAGAGATGCAAGGGTTGGACATTTTGTTCCCAGGGAAGTTGTCTAAGTCTGTTTCTTTTTGTCTTCTGCTGACATTGCTTCCATATGTGCTTCATCTTGAGGTTTTATGTTGACTTTGACTTTGATCAGTTACGAGTTTGATGATCTTGAACTTTTTGGATTGGCAGCAATTGTAATGAATTAGAGGTCCTTCTTTTGGTTCTCCTTTTATGTATTTTCTCTTTACAATTTTTTGAACTTCTTGTGGGCTTTACAGTCACAAGTTTCAACGTCTTAATCAATGTGCCTGTGAAAAATATTATTTGTTCTCAGTTTTGAGCTGGCCAATAGTTGGTCCATGAGATGAGATACTTTTACATTACATTGAATATTATAATTTTCTCTTTGATTGTGACTAACTTTATAGGAATTTGTGCAATAGTCAATCTTGATGCAAACTCATTAGTTCATAGGGGGTTAATTAGTTTTTAGGATTCTAATGGTCACTTTTGCCTGCTTTAGTTTCTTCCTTCTTGGATTATTTTTTCGTAGGCCATTTTTTTGTCCCTTTTGTTTTGACAATGAGTGGCAGGATTTACAATTTAACATATTTTCTTTTAGTAGATTGAAATTGGTGTTAAACATTTGAATTTTGATGGCAGAAGACCTATCAGAAAAAACAAATAAATCAGTAATGGATTTAATAGTATATTGAGTTTCTTAAATTATATCTTTTGGGAGGATTACTCCTTGTTCAACTAGGTGATGCTGTTGGGGTCTTATTTAATCACACAAAAGCATCCATGTGCATGTGTCCACACATATACAAACTCATATTTGTAACCTTTAACTAGTTATTTACCTGAGCCAACACTTGCTCCTGTGTAGATAAGTTCACAAAAGAAGAAAACGGGTGTCATTGCTCCAAAACGCTTCGTACAGAGATTGAAGAAGCAAAATGAAATTTTTCGCAGTTATATGCACCAGGTATGAGCTTAACATGAAACTTTCCTATGTTGGTTTTGGCATATTGAATTCAGACATGCAACCACCAGGAATACTTTAGTATACTCTTAAGAGGATTACTTGACCATACTTTTGTCTTGTTGTGTTATCTTTAGCTTCAACTTTAACTATGTGTATTGAATTCAGACATGCAACCACCAGGAATACTTTAGTATACTCTTAGAGGATTACTTTACCATACTTTTGTCTTGTTGTGGTATCTTTAGTTTCAACTTTAACTATGTGTCATTGGGTTACCCTAGTGGTTCTAAAAGGGGTTGATGATTTATCAATACAAATTTATTGAATGAATTTAGGCAAATTTATCGAAAACATGACACTTGCAATGCCTTGTTTTTTGAAACACGTTCTTTTCCATTTGCGAACACTTATTGTTTATACAACATCATATATAGCTGCTATACCAATGGTTAATGAGATAGGTTATGTTACAATCTATGTTACATGGACTAAACTCGAGTACATGTATCAGGTGCGACACATAGTTGTCAAACAGTGAATCGAATCCTGAATCGAAATGGCCTTGTACCGAATCGCGAATCAAATCGTGAATCGTAAAGATTTGGTCATTTTTTTAAGTTACTTAGAAAAATATACTTACATACTTACATGTTAAATATATCTTATAAATCTATATTTAGACTTAAATCAATGAAAATGTTGTTTTGGACGATGATCACGTGGTCTGATAGGTAAGAAGTTAACATAGGTTTTCAAGTAAGATCACCATCTTACCTTTTCCCTTTTAAGATATTGATTATCAATCATTCTTAATAAAGAAAGTAAACAAAGACAAACTCTCAATTTTCAAGTAACAATAACTTAACAACGATTTTGATATTTCATAAGCATACATACCTTTATAAATAACAATGACCCTAATAATAAGAAAGAATTAATTGAAATATAAAGCATTTTAAAATGTATATATGTTTATTTTTAAGTGTTTTTTATAATAATTAAAAAAAATAAAAACTTGCAAAACCATTGGGTTTAACTGACATCCATCATTCATGTAATATTGAAGTATATTTATTTTGCAAGTTACTTTAACCTTAAACATTTTTACAAGATACATTATGATTTTTTTTAAGGAAAAAAAAAATGAGAAGAAAAGGTTAAAAACATGTTTAGTTTGACTGAATCTGGTTGGATCCTATTAAAAACTCTCTTATCTCAAAAAAAAAAAAAAAACAATAAATCATGTGTATGTATTGGTTATTTTCGTACTAAACACTGTTAGAAGTTGTATTATGTCATTTTAACTAGAAAAAAATGGAGAAAAAAAGAAAAGAAATATGTTGGATATGATAGTTTCAATAATTACATCAATGGTAAAAAGTAAATCGATTGTGAATCATGTGATTCACTAGAGATCCATTTCCAAAATAGATTCACCCATAGATACGTATTGATTTTGCAAAAATCGCAAATCGAATCGCGAATCGTAAGATTCTAATAACAAGAGAGTGCGAGTACGTATCCAATCCTCAAACCTTCATAAACCTATTTCTAGGATATTGGGATATGTATCCAAAAGTCAGACATGAGTACAATGAAGCATCATGGACACATATATATTGCATATTGTAAATTATTTAAAAATATACTTGAAATTAAATAGGATTTAGGGAAATATGAAATATCTATCTTTCATCTATGTGAGAGGCTAGAAATATTTTTTGACTAGCAAATGTGAGTTTTTTCTTCTTTGAACATTATAAAAAAATTTAGGGGATCTAAGTATCTAAATTGAATATAGGTGTTGTGGGTGAGAGGTGTGGTTAGAGGTAGTCCGGGAAGATGGCGGGCACTTCAATGGCCTAAGATCACCGGAGGTGGAGAGGAGGAGGTCAAGGCAAGCTTGGAGAGGGTGAGGTTGGCAGTGATAGACCTTGAACACTAATGTAGAGTGTGAGTGACGCAGCAGAATACACAGGGACTAGATATCGTTCTAGTAGACGAATGGGGTTCTCGAATCCACGAGAAAAATAGAATCTTGAATCCATAAGGAAGAGAAAATATCTTAATATTATTGATTGAATGAATAAAAGTTGTCTTTGCCATGAGGCTTACATAGCTATTTATAATAAACTAAACCTAATACTTGTAGGAAAAGTAATTCTAAAATAAATTAGGAAACTTAAATCAATACAAATAAGGAAACCTGAGAGAATAGGAAACTAAAATTCTAAACTATTTAAATTCCTTATCAAAATCTAATTCCAAAATAATAAAATTAAGAAACCTAATAATTCTAAAATATTTATACTAAATTACAAGAATCCTAATATTAAAACTAAAAATATAAAAACTCTTAAAATCTTGTCCTACATCAGACTCCTCTTCTTTGAAAGAACTCGTCATCGAGTTCATATTAGAGATTTGCCATTTTTCATGCCAAATAAAGAGATATTTTAAATATTTCAGTAGTTTGCCCCTCTTCCTAAAGTGTATATAGAAAAGTTTTCTTTCTGAAAGTTCTTCTCTATATGCTTCTACTGGTTGACAAGATTAATTAGACAAGTATTGAAAATCAAATTAAATTGCTTAACACCAAGAAAATCAACGAAGGGTATTTTATGTTGATGTTGGATACTCTCTGGACTCTGCTCTGTCTTAAATTCAGTTGGACGTTCAATTATCAATCTTGGAATATCAATTGCATCCTCAATCAACTTCTCTGGTGCACATGTCAACTTTATTACTTCATCTTTTATTTCTTCTTTTTCATTGAGTTCAACTTGATCTCCTTCTTTTGCAATCTCATAACCATCATAATAATCAAGAGATGATAGTTCCGTCATTAGAAGCTCTTGGCTAACTTCAATGTTTTTCTCTTGCTTCACCTCTTCATTATCTTCTTCAAATTTCTTGATCAAACTAATTTCAGTGACCTCTCTTTCATCAATTTCAATGTTCTCACCATTGTTGAAATCAACTTGATTTTCTACTTCAATTGAATGTCTATTTGGGTCTTCAAAATTTTGAAACATTGAGGTACTCAAAATCTTTTCTTCTTCAATGCGTAGTGGAGTGTGACAAATTTGTTGACCTACAAGACTTGATTGACCCAAACTTGGCAGAGCTATAGTCATGTTTCTCGAATAATCTGTATCCACAATTGCACAATAATTATTGAGTTGCGAAGAATATTTTGAATTAGAATTACCTTGGAACAATTGTTTCGATTCAAGCTTTCTTTGATATTGTTGATACAACATTTGCTCATGATTTGATTGAAGGAATCTAGAACTCATCAACTTCTTCATCTTATGCCACGTTCTAATGGATTGTTTGTATTGTCGCTTTCGATCATACTGCAATTGTTTCCACCATGTAGAAACAAAACCTTGTAACTTACGTACAACATATTTGGCTTGCTTTTCTTCAGAAATTTCCATACACTCAAGGAATTTTTCAACTTTGCGAAACCAATAAATAAGATCCTCGACATGACAGGACGCATTAAAATAAGGAATTTCTGGTGGTACTTGATAATTTGAAAAGTCATGATTGATGCAATCATTCCTATTGAACACATCACTAAATCTTCGTTGTCGCCTTACCAACTGATATTTACCATAATCCTCGAATAACTCATCTTTAGATTCGTCCTCACTATCGTATTGATAACAAGAAGATCGTCTTAAGACGTGGTTAATAGATTGGCCTTGGGCAAATCACATAGCGCGGTTCCTATTAACATTGTGATTAACAGGTTGGCCTTGGGCAAATCTCTTGACTCAAATCCTATTAGATCTTTCTCTATGATCATCGTCAATAGAGCTTGTGCTTCCTCTTTCGATGAATGACATCAAGTCAGGAGAAACCTTGCCTTGATACCACTTGACGCAGCAGAATACACGGGGCTAGATATTGTTCTAGTAGACGAATGAGGCTCTCGAATCCATGAGAAAAATAGAATCTTGAATCCACAAGGAAGAGAAAATATCTTAATATTATTGATTGAATAAATAAAAGTTGTCGTTGCCATAAGGCTTAAACCTAATACTTGTAGGAAAAGTAATTCTAAAGTAAATTAGGAAACTTAAATCAATACAAATAAGGAAACCTAAGAGAATAGGAAACTAAAATTCTAAACTATTGAAAATCCTAGTCAAAATCTAATCCAAAATAATAAAATTAAGAAACCTAATAATTCTAAAATATTTATGCTAAATTACAAGAATCTTAATATTAAAACTAAAAATATAAAAATTCTTAAAATCTTGTCCTACATCAGTGAGAGAGGGTGTTTAAACATGAGACTTGGTTGTATTGTTGTTGTGTCTCACTGCATATACGATACGTTATATAGGCCACAGGAGTATTGGAGCCCAAGCAAACTGTTGGACAGGTGGCTCGTTCTCCTCAACTCTGCCATAAGTGATATAAGCCCTTTTGTCGTCTGTGGCTTGACGGCAAGCAGAGAACAACGTTACATGGCAGGCGGAAAGTAACGTTTCGTATATGCATCGGATGACATGAACGTAAGGTCATTGTTGCCTCTTCTTCAAGCCTGATCGAGATGGAGTCGTCTTAGCAAGAAGACAACCATCTCGACGATTCCATGACCTCAGCCGCCAGTCCAGTATCGTCTGATGATCTCGAGCAGTAGTGCCTCGGTCCTGCTCCGAACCCAGGCATCCAAGTAGGTGAATGGGCTAGGGCCCACCTTAATGTTTAGGAGAGCCAGGGCTCGCTTCCAAGCGACCAAGCAGGAGAATGGGCCGCGGGCATATCTCAATGTTTAGGAGAGGGGCTCGCTTCTAATGGACCAAGTAAGAGAATGAGCCGTTGACCTATCTCAATATTTAGAAGAGTCGGTGCTTATCAATCCAAGTCCATTTGAATCGGGGGTTGATTGTATTGTTGTTTTGGTCTTGGAGCGAGGTATGAAGGACCATGGGTCTTGCGGGGCCATGGTGCTGCTTGTTGTAGGGCTCCTCATATTTGGA